ACATATATATTATATAAAGTCCATAAATTAAAAGTTTAAAAGAACCGCTAGATTTATATAGTTTTAGCTATCAAAATTATCATGAATGTTAGAGTTACATGTTTTAGAATGTGAATTTGGAGAAAAAATATACATAGTTAAATCACAATCTAAGATTGATGAAACTTAATGAGTCCTTTTTTTGGTGGTTCCAAATGTGTTAAACTGTTAAGCAAACAAACATACTTTGGACATTCCTAGAATTCAGAATTCAAATTTGCTGTGATACTGTGATACTAAAACTTTGTTAAATTAGTTGACATACAGTAATTTAAAAATTATAGCAAAGAAGATAAAATTATAGAATTCTCATGAATGACAAAGCAGACATACAAATCCATTAGGCTTTATAAAATATCAACTCTTCAACAAAGTGCTTTATTATTTAATTCATTTTTACTGCTTCTTTAAGCTTGTTCTTGGCATATAAATATACATACATATTTGTTTTTCAAGATTGATGTTCTGGTTTAAAGAGTTACCCAAACAGGACAAATTGAGAGAAATGCACAGGCTGAAAATAAATACAATGCTCTCTTTTGAAAACCTAATGAACTGAGAATGAACTATTAAAGCATCTGCAAAAGGAAGACCAAGAAAAAAACACCTGTAATTTCTAATTCAAAATAAAGTCAATAAAGATTCATGATAAACAATGAGATCAAATAAATGTTACAGTGTAAACTATCATCCTCTATTCCCACAGCATTTTTAGATTTAGTGAATTTAAAATGTTCTAATATGTAAATATTCTACATTTTATAAAATAGTAGTCATTTTAAGCATGTATAATAATGATTCAAGATTCAAATTTTCCCCTACATTACTTAGCTTTTAAAATAACCAGAAAACTATTCCCTATGACAGCTGCAAATGCAGGACTTTGGAATGAGAAACTCAGATTTCCAAACTGAGTTCTGTCAGGTTTAACAGTAACCTAGTCAAAATCATCTTTTTCTTGTTTCTAACTCTTCTTTTCCACAAATTAAATTTATACATCTCAATTATGCAGATGTCATAAGGAATAGCCCACGACTCAGATTTAACGGAGAATGTAAAATAATTCATAAAGGTATTTTAAATGGTACAGTATTTAGTATAAATATTTTATTGAATTAATAAATACTACATGACATATAACCTCTATTGTCTCACAGAAAGAAAACATTTTTTGCCTTTTTCACCTCATTAGATATTTGTGTCTAAACTGAAAACACCGATTAGTCATTCCTAAATTTTTAATTGTGGAGGTTACTGTCAAAGAGTGGAACACAATACTTACATGATAATGAGCATTTCAGATGGTAATAAGGAAATCCAGTCAAATTTTCTTAATACATGCTGAAATTTCTTTTACTAAGAATAAAACATTTCCACACTGATTAGACTGGACAACAAGCCCAGTGTTCACTGTTTAACAACTTCAAGAGACACAATATAGGAGGGAACAATCCTTTCCCTTAACATCAACTGATTTCAAAGGTTAGGTTGTAAGCACCCAAATCCTACTCTCTACTAATAAACTACTATTGATCATAGTCATAAAGTTATTCAAAATTTTTTAAATACTTTCTATCTCAGAGATAATGTGATATTTGAGTTTAATACTCCAATAGTGTCAAAGAAATTGCTTCAAACTTTACCATAACTGAAAAATGACTAAGGTCTGTTCAAGTACTTTAAAATTTTATTTTATAATGTTTTTACTAATTAGAAATGGATAAACATTAATGTTGTACTTAAAATTTATAGTGTTGCTTTTCAGATAGTAATAGCAGTATATAGTTATGGTTTCAAAGTTTATGAAGATCCATCCAAGTTGGATTATTTAAACTTGTAATAAATAGATGTATTTTCTTGGAAAAATATCTATTGTTACAGTAAAACTTGAGTTTCCTTTCTAACAAGATTGTATGATTACTCGTTTATATTGTTCTTTCCGCAGGAATTTACACACCCCCTGTTTGCATCCTGTTATTCATTTTGAGCTTCCCTTCCCTTTGCTATACTGTTTCCCTAATAGTGGGAGAGAGGGTCTAACTGCACACAAAAATCCGAATCCCTGTCAGCATGCTTCAAGTCTCTTCGTTTGCATTTAGCATTTGTTCAATTCCTTAGAGTTACCCTTAAAATTTTGTTTTCTGTATGCTATGAAAAGTTGCACTGCCTTCCCAGACGATTGGTGATCTGGAGAAGATTTGGGGATTTTTTTTTTTAATCATTTATTTCCACCTTCCACCTAAGTCTTATGTTCCTGTATTGAACCACCTAAGAAACTGCTTAGGCTGTACACACACCACTAAAACCCAAGCAAACACATTTGTAGTCTTCTTAAAATTTTGTATGTTTGGATTTGTCTGATGGCAAAGAAAATTTTTTAACTACTTCAGGGCATAATCAAAGCCGGGCTAGTCACATCAGACTCAGTAATATGCTTCTCAAAATACTGACTTCCTGGGTTTTACATAGAACCTATTGAATCAGCATACCCTAGAATGTACATTTTAATAAGCTTTCCAGGTAATTCTTATGCACATTGAAATTTGACCAGTAAAGGATCTAAAATTAAGTATATGATGAAGGTAATGATACGAATAGTTAATAAGAGCCTACTGTCAAATATACTGAACCAGAATAAAAAAATAGACAAACTCATTAATGAAGAGCTAATACTTTTTAACAAATAAGAAATCCATGATGAGCCCTGCTAAACTATGACATTCTTTATAAAGTAGACTTTGGACTCTCCTTTACTTAAGGCATTGAATAACAGGACACATGTTTAATCGTGTATGCATATCTCCGTGTGTATATATGTAACACATATATATATCATGTACACATTAAATATATAAAATGTGTGTGTGTGTGTGTGTGTGTGTGTGTGTGTGTATGCATGTGCCTAAAGGGTAATTATGTTAGTACTTAAAGGGCACACTGGCTGTGCTATGCAGCTTCAGCTTTGTTCCACTACTTCTAAATAGTATAGGAACAACTTATACTTTTTTCTCTTTTTAACATTTATAATTTGATTTCCCATTATAAAGGAGCAGGAAATGGAAAGGTAAAGTGACTCAAGTCTATAAATATTAACCAGAGTCAAGGGAAAATGCCTCTCTGGCTTCTAGACTGTAAATTTTCCAAGGGTGGAGACCACATCTTATATGTCGTAGAATCTGGCACCACACAGTCGAGCAGTAAGCACAGCATGTGAACAAATGCTAAGGATCAGGGCAGCTTCAGTGAAGCTGGGGGTGGGCCTGAAGGTACAATCTACAGCAGTGGCTCTCAAGCTTCAACATGCATCTAGCCCTGCCACTAGGGGCCTCACCACCCTAGATTCTAGGTGGGGTCCAAGAATTAGCATTTCTAACAAGTTCCCAAGCGATGCTTCCTGTCTAGAGACTATACTTTTAAGAACCAGAGATCTAGGAAAACGTGTTCAGCACTTTCCTATACAACAGTTCCCACAGAAAAGAAAAATTGAGATGTGGTCAAAAAAAACAATATAAGGAATCTGGAAACCTGGGTTCTAGTTTCAACTATATCAGAAAATGACTGTATAGTTGATAAACACATACGCACAGACATACCACTAAATACTGCATAACTCATCTCCAAGATGAAGGGTATGGTATAGATAAAACTGAAAACTCCAAGTCTTTTAAAAAAGATCAGAGAAAATTTAAGTGTCAAATATGAAACTTTTAAATATACATTCTTTCCTGAAGTCACTACCGTTAAATCAGTGTATAAATCAGACCACAACTGTTAAACTACATAGCTTCTGTCCAAAAGAAAGAACATAAAGGCAAGCAAACACATAAACAGATGCTCAGTCTAAACACATCAAACATGTAAACACAGACCTGAAGGGAAATTAACTGTTTTGCAAGATTCTAAACAGAAATTACAAATTCAAGTATCTGTAAATGTGCTGTCTAGGTATTTCCTAGTATCTAGACCAGCAGGATCAGGAGCATTTGAAAGCTTGTTAGAAATGCAAAATCTCTGGCTATACTTAAAGCTACTGAATAAAACTCTGTATCTTAACAAGATCCCTATGTAATTTGTAAGCAAATTAAAGTCTGAGTAGCACTGACATAGGCCACTGAGATTTCATCATTAATTTCTTTACAACAGTTAGAAAAATGACATTTTAAAAAGACCATTTCCCTGAACAATCCATTTATAAACAGATAAAAGAGAAATCAAGAAATGATTTTACATGAGAAAACACTATTTTCAAACAAAAACTTCTATTTAAACTAATATATGATGATGAAATACTCTATGATTAAAACGGAACAAGCACTACCTAGCTATCTAGCTCAAAAATCCGGACCTTTACAGCTGAGAAAACTGAGGTACAAGGATGCTACCTGGTTTAGTTAAAGCCATGTAGTTTGTCAGTGGCACAATGGAGAATGAAATTTAATTCTATTGACTCCTATAATGGAGTGCTCTTTCCAGTGGAAAAAAAATTTAATTATTGATATATTTTCCTGCAGTAAACATACAGTTAATATAAAGCATTAGATGTATACATAATTTTGAAAGGATAAATGAAATGGAATATCTATTAAAAACACAGAAAATCCATCAGTAATATATCACAGTGTTAATATGTGTTTTCTTCTTTTTTTATAAAAAGACATTAAAAAACTGAATTGGAAAGAGAAGGGGAACTGGAATTAGACATACTCAACTTAAGCATAACTTCCAAATATATGATTTTCACAGAATGTTATCATAATCACTTAAATGGTTGCATTTGTTTGATGAAGGAAACTGGCAAATTGATTTTAGGACTTATAAATTTGGTTTTGCCACTTACGTTTTACTATATACCAATAAAAAAACCTGTTTTTCACATATAGATAATTTTTATAGTTATTAACACAGAAACACACATAAGTATTTTGAAAGTTATTGTAGAAAAATTAAACTCTCTGTCTTACCATCAAAGAAGCTCTTGGCTCTCAAGTAACTGACACTGAGCCTAAGAACTGAAAGTTTGTCCAGCTTATTAATAATATCTTGTGGAAAAGGTAGCAGACTAGCCAAACGGTCCAACTCTGTATTAAGGCGGTCTCTATGTCGTTTGGAAGGATTTGACTTGACTCCTTCAGCAGGGATTGGCTTTACTCTAAAAGCAAACAAAATACCATAAAAATCCTTTAAAATATATAAAGCAAAAATTTCTATTGCATTATAACATCTCCTTGAATATTTCTAATATAACAAACTTTTAAGATCTACTTCAAGTTTACATAAATCTTTCCGAAATCTGTAATCTCTTAATCAAGAAAAACAAGGGTTAATTCTTCATAATGGTTTATTAACAAGGAAAATGCTAAATACATCTTATGAAAATGCTTACTTTTATTTCATTCATTTGTAGTATAGTGATTCCCAATAAACATATCTAGGATTCCCGCATCCCTCCCAAACACAGTTAGCCCTTGTCAGGGCAAAAAAATTAAGAGATATCTGCAATAAATTATATGAAAATCATGCTTCCTTTGCTATCTTTCACAAGAAGCATCTAAGCATCATTTATGTTGTAGATAAATAGGAACAATCCTAAATGAAAAGTTTATCTTCATCATTTCCAGCTTTCTACATTTATATACTTTCATCCCATTGGTGATGACTTCCCAAAACCCTTCTGGCACCTGCAAATGATCCTCCAGCCATCCAATGTAGTCCTCAAACATTAAAAAAGGAATAAATTTGACTTTTGTTATTTATATTTGTTGTTGACATTTATTAGAGGCTAACTGTGATTAATGGCAATTTTTGCTTTCATGACTAGGCAGTAATTCTATTTATTAGCTTTCATAGTCTTTGTCTCAATTAGAAAGTTCAAGGAAACCCCAACAATTTAGCATAATTTTCTTCTGAGAGAAAAGACATGGGTAGAAGAGGAACATGAGTTCATAAATGAGAAATTAGACAACTTCACACAAAGGCCTTAGCCAGGATTTCACAGAAATTAATCACTTAAAAGTGAATTTAATGATCATCAGACACCCACGCTGAATTGGAAAACCAAACAAAGTAATGTTTAGACTATGCCTCTATACCTTTCCATTGGCCAAAAAAAAAAAAAAAAAAAATTATCCAGAGTTTTCATACAACAAAGACATTTTTGACAATTCAAATGAAGTTATATTGTCCTATGAAGTAGAAATTGGCCTGGGTATAGTACTATTAGTTTGAGTCAATAAAAAAATTTTCTAGAAAATTTATGTTTCCAATGATAAGTGTGGAGAAGTAATACTTTAATGCATAAAAATGATGAAAGTATGAAATTTTAACATGCTGTTTACACTGTTCCTAGCAAGCAATTTCTTCAGCGCTTGTCTATTTTTCTCTATCACAGTTCATGTTATTTCTACAAAATAGGGCGATAAATTGGTTAAATGGTCTTGTGTGTGTGTGAAGTCAATAGATACTTTCCCAGACGATTTGTTATAATCGCACATATAATTGAAATTGGTGACTGTTTCCCTACTCTCCCCTAATCATACTGCACTTGTAATCAAATTCAAGTCACAGCTAATTACTGCATTTCTCCAATTAGCCAAGTGAATTTCAATTTTTACCTATAATGTTTCTCTACCTCATTATATAAATCTCTACTGGTTAATTAATAACATATTAACAAATATTTGTTTGCACCTATCATATCTTGGACAGCCCAGGAAAACACTATTGTACTAAATATTCAAAAAGCATTATGGGAGCTAAGTAGAAGGAGCAACTGCTTGAAAAAAGATTTTACAGAAAAGATGGTATCTGAGATGGATCCTGACAGATGAATAAGATTTCATGAGGATGCATAACCGGGGAATGCTCAACTGTGACAAGTACCCTGTCTGAAGTGTGTAGCACAGAGCAAAACAGAGAACAGAAAAGGAAAGACAGTTAGGGCCACATTAATTTCAATAACTATTGAACACCCACCATGTGCTAGGTGGAGAACACTGAGAGGTTAACAAAACATACAAAAACTTCTTTCTCATGGAGTTTACATTCCAGTTGGAGGATAGAGAAATAAACCAATAGCTTTTTGGGCTAGTAAGTACCAAGAAGGAAAATAAAGCAAGGTAAGGAACTAAGGAGTGACGGAGGTGCTGGTTTTGATAGCCAGGGAAGGTCTCTGATGTGATGTTTCAGCACAGACATGGATAAAATGAGGGAATAAGCCATGTGGGTGTCTGATGAAGAAGTGTTCTAGATAGAGGAAACAGCAAGTTTCCTCAAAGTAATGGCAGAAAATAGGACTTTGGTATCTGGGAGTCATCTTAAGAACTGAGCTGGGACTTACAAGATCAGCCTTTGTTTTACTAAGCTGCTTTAGTGATAGAGATTGCAAAAAGCAGGGCAGGGCTCACTAAAGTTAGGATTTCTGCCACTTACGAATTTCTTTCTAAAACATAAATCTTACTACGTCACAAATCTGATTAAAATCCTTCAACAGCTCTGGACTGTCCATGTTCCTCAGTGTAGCACACATTACCTTTCTAGCTACCCCTCTATCTACCCTCTGCCTTCCTTTCCTCTAGCCAGTCATCTTTGTTAGTGCACCTCAGAGCTAAGAATAAGAGCTTAACAGCTATCGACATGTACTTTGGTGCTTTCATATGACCTCCTTGTTCTGTTCCAACCCCTTCAGGTCCCTGCTCAAGTAGATCACTTTTATGAAGTCTTCTCTAACCTACCTCACAATGGATTAGCTACTCTGCTCCATATGACCTGTGTCTCTCATACGAATGTCTTATACACCCATTCCATTAAGGAATATTCTAATATTCTATACAAATAACTTCACATAAATTGAAAATGTGTATACAATCCAGTCCTGTACTCTTGGTACCTTTCCAGTAATGATTATGAAACATTGGAGAGAAGAGAGTAACACAAACATTGAAGGAAGACAAGCTGATATGACACAGGGAGAACCATAACTTAAAGGTATCCCTCCATGCAGTACCGCTGCCTATGTTGTGCTGGTTCTTGAGGTAGTCAACCCTGCACTAGATTTGGAGACTGCGTCTTTACACGATGCAAAATTGTCCACATCTCTAATGTATTACTGTGTACCTTATGAAATATTTAGCGCGAGATCAACTTTCCATTAGACAAGTGTTAAGTAACCTAATTACATATACTTGTTTGTCTGTGACTCTTACTACTATCATTTTTGTATCCTTAGTGCCCAGCATAGTACTTGACTCTCAATTAACGCTTGCTAACCAAAAGTCTTCAGAAAAGAAATGATCAGAACCTGACCAAGGCAGGGATAGTGAAGATGGTAAGAAGGGCTGGCCTGAAGTGAAATTTAAGCCAGACTCAAATGTCCCCTGAACTACAGTGACTTGGTGTAGGAAGGAGGGGAGAGGACAATGGTTAGTAAGGAGGGGTTGCAAATGACTCTTGTGATTTGTAGCTTAGAAAAACTACATTTCCTTATGAGAGGTGTGCCAAACAAGGGGAAGAGTGGCTTGAACAGACCTCAGCGGTACCAACATTTAGGCACAGGGCTGAGGAAAAGGCACAGGCAAAGACAACAGAGGAGAAATTATGAGATATGCAGGAAAAGAAACAGGGCAAAATATTTTGGAGGTCACAGAAGAAAGGCAGAAGTACAGAGGAATTAAGTCAAGGCTGAGAAGTACCCACTGGACTCAGCAATTCAAATGTGCTAGGTTTGAAGCTTTTAAAGTGTCAGGTTGTTAAAACCAAAGTAATGCATTTGACCCACTTTTTCACTGATTTCATAAGAGATATTCAGAATTATTTTGTGAAAATATTTTATACATAGCCATACATATTGAAGATGTACAGAATAATTAAAAGTAAAGAGTAATCCTATATTAACTATACTTGACTTGGGTTATGCTGGTGCTTTTACTTTTATATTGTCTAAATCTATACAAAAGTACACTGCCAACCATTATTTTAAAAAAAGGCTATGCTTGAAATATAAATAAACATTGCTGTTAGATTGGATTTGGGAGCTCCGGAGATCAGAAATCTCCTGAATTAGACCGTAAGATGTTGGTCAGGCAAAGGAGCAACTTATTTTTTTTAAACCTTAACCTCAAGAATCCTGTCCCAACCTGTTAATCAAAATCGTTGTGTAATCAAGGCTCTAGCTGACTGCATGCTACCCTTCCGTTTTAGAAATCCTGTACACTGTAACTACTGGTGGTAACAGGCCCAATAGTGTGTCCAATGCCAGTTTGAATGCTATCTTTAAAGCCTTTCTAACATCGTCATCTAAAATGTCTGTTAGGCATCTAGTGTTTAAAGCAAAGTCAAAAGAATTAACAGCCTAGTTTAATCATAAATTAAGGTAACTTTGTTTTATATAATATTTATCATAAAACCTCAAAATGATGTGCAAAGATACAGTTTCAGTAATCATCCAAGATTAAAGTGACATTTTCTAACAAGAGATTACCTCTCACAGTACTGAGTTTGCTCTATCAGTTCTTTTATTGGGGTGATTTAATCAACACCCACTGCTTCAGTGTAACTTACCAAAGACTTTTTTATCTCTATTTCTAGTCCCTGCACTGGAATGCCCTCTCATTCATATTTCCCAGAACTTGGACACCCCATTCTTGCCATCTGCTATAGTGCCACTCTCCATCCAACAGCTAGGAAATTTGAAGTATTCCTCAATACAATCCCCCTATCACTCTAACTACACCCAATAAAGCCCAACTCTTAACCTTATTCATTCTTCATTTCTTTCCCCCAGCTTCAGTGCATACTTATCTCTGAATATGAGTTTCAAATATTTACAATCATAAACTATGTGCATAATGGAATATTACAGAGGTGATGTATAGTATAAACAGAGTCAAACTTCATTGTTAGTCTGAATACAGCTGGATATTTTACTTCCCTATGAGGCAAAAAACATCTCAAAGACTTCTGAGAATTCTAGCTACAAGACACTTTTAATGAGTCAGACTTATTCTGCCACTCTCCTGCACTCTACAGCTATGATAGGTTCTTCTCTTTCCCTCTGTCCACTATATATAAGGAGAGATGATGAGGTATAAATAACATAATTTCTAGCACAAGACACTAGCAGTGAAAACCAGGCACATGAAATATGCCCTAGAA